TATATATATATATATATATATATATATATATATATATATATATATATATATATATATATATTGTTCCTTTCCTGTAAACACAGCTCGTATAACTTTTGTCTAGCACTAGTTTACGAGAAATTGGCGTTGAAAGTTTTCCGTGGGTCGAGAATACCGCTTAAGTAGAAGCAAAATTTAAGTAGCCAACGTGGCGCAACGAATAGGAGGCACGGTTAGAACGCTCAATGTTGTGTTTTCGATCCGGCTTACAACTTTTTTATTTTTTTTTATTTTATTTTAAATATGAAATAAAATAAATTATTACTATATAAATTAGCCAACTATAATTCCAGTATTATTATCATTCGCAGTATTATTATTATTCGCACTATCGAACTGCCTAACAGTGGTATCATTTTTACTATCTGTGTATCCGACGCTCATTGTATAGTGGAGGGGTGATGGAGAAGAACTTTCCGCAGGTAGCAAAAGCCATACCACTGTTAGGCCGCTCTCACAGGACACTAATCTTAAAACACCATCAGGCAAACATTACAAAGTAATATAACGACTAGTAACGTAATGTTGAAACAAATTCCCTTTCCAAACTTTAAAAGAATAGTTTATTTATTCGCTGATCGGCGTATCTCATTACTTTTCGTACAATTTTGCTTAAAAAATGAGAATGTTAATAATACTGGGATGATAGTTGACTAATTCAGATATTAATCATTTATTTTATTTCATATTTTATGAAAAATTAAAAAAAAAGTTGGAGTAAGCCGGAATCGAATGCATGATATCGAGCGTTCTAATCGCGCTCCTTAAATGCTGCACGACGCTGGTTATTTGAATTTTGCTTGAATTTTACTTAAGCGGTATTCTGGGCACATGGAAAACTTTCAACACCGATTTCTCATAAACTAGTGCTCATTGGCAAGAGTTATACGAGTTGTGTTTACAGAAGAGGGATTACTATAATATATATAAAAATTAGTCAAATCTAACGCGGCGCGTTTCGACAGTCCCCTTGTAAGCGTCACGACAATCAATTGCAAGAATCGGATAAGAAGCTGCAACAGGAAAATGAAAGTAAATGTAGAAAACTGATATATTTGATATATACTTTACTGATAAATTTCTGTTGAGATAACAATAGAATTTCTAATTCAATTCTCAGTTGAATTCTCAATTGAATTCTCAAATGCGGTTTCCGCAAAAATTCGCATGTAAGATCTCAATTGAGATATCTGATGGAAATAATTTATTGAAAATATAATAAACTTTTGCTGAAATGTTTTTGAAAAACATTCACAATTTTGACCCAATTTATTAAAATTTCATTATAATTTCATTAATATTTCGATAATATTTCATTAAAAATATAAAAAAATTCAGTGAAAAATCATTATTAATTAAAATAGATTGAGAAAAGTATGATGAAGTATTATTTTGCCTAAATAATAAAAAAAACTGTTATTTCATATTTTGTATCGTTTCACTTATTCGTAAGTTTCGCGTGGATTCGATCCCGTGTGACACGGTCGCCCATCTTTAGATGACTGCGCTGTTCAATGTCTAACCTCAACGATCGTACGGGAACTGGTGATGGCAATGCACTGTAACGATATCGTGGTGGATTGTATTTACAATATACTCTTACAGCGTTCAAAAATGTAATGACATATTTGTCGGTAAATGTTTCAAAAGACGTAATAACAATTACAATGCGATTAATATTGATATAATGTTGTATAACTAATCAAACTTTAATATACAACATGCTCGCAAAAGAGAGAGAATATTCCTTCTTTCTCTCTCTTTTGCGAGCATGTTGTATATTAAAGTTTGATTAGTTATACAACATTATATCAATATTAATCGCATTATGATTGTTGTTACGTCCTTTGAAACATTTACCGACAAATATGTCATTACATTTTTGAACGCTGCAAGGGTATATTGTAAATACAGTCCACCATGATATCATTACAGTGCATTGGCATTATTAGTTCCGGTACGATCATTGAGGTTAGGCATTGAACAACGCATAGTCATCTAAAGATGGGCGACCGTATGACACGGGATCGAATCCCACGCAAATATCACAAATAAATGAAACGACACAAAAAATGACATGCCAGTTATTTTATTTTATTATTTAATTTTATTTTATTATTTAGACAAAATAATACTTCATTATACTTTTCTCAATCTATTTTAATTAATAATGATTTTTCACTGAATTTGTCTACATTTTTAATGAAATATTATCGAAATATTAATGAAATTATAATGAAATTTTAATGAAATTGGGTCAAAATTGTGAATGCTTTTCAAAAGCATTTCAGCAAAAGTTCATTATATTTTCAATAAATTATTTCCATTAGATACAAATATCTCAATTGAGATCTTATATGCGAATTTTTGTGGAAACCGTATTTCAGAATTAAGTTGAGAATTCAACTGAGAATTGAATTGGAAATTCTATTGTTATCTCAACAAAAATTTTTCAGTAGGGTAGTCACGTCACATATTACAAATATAAGCGTGCACATGTGTGAAAAGAAATCCACTTATAATAGCATCATTAATATAGATATAGATCATCAATATAGACGTAGATATACGATAGATACAATAATATAGATCATTAATATAAACGTTATCGACATTCGTAATCGACACTCCGTTCAGAGTTCGATGATCGCTCCGGAATTCTCTTAAGTTATTAAACAAATTTTTTTTCAGAAAAAGGAATTTACGTCGTTGGATTCAGCTATCCTGTAGTGCCAAAGGATAAAGCACGAATACGTGTCCAAATTAGCGCAATGCATTCAACAGAAGATATAGATTATGCCGTGAATGCTTTTATACAAATCGGAAAAGAACTGGCAGTAATTCAATAATTATTTTCTTCATATTATAAAGATATTAACATAAGAAAAAATACATATTGTTAATTGGTCATTGATTTTTAAGAATTTTTAAACAAATTTATACCAAAAATAAATTTATCAATATATACTCGAAAATTCCGTTCAATAAACTTTGGAATTTAAAACAACAATTTCTAAAATCCCTAATTTTCCTTTAGCATATGTAATTTTAAACATATAGTAAACTCATAATAATGGTAAGTAGTCGAGTATGCGTGCGCATGCACGTGTATGTGTGTGTTGGGTATGAGAGTGTGTATATGAAAAAAGAGAAAAGTTCTTGCAAATTACGAAACTTTGTCTAAAAAATTTCATTCATGAAAACTTCCCATAAAGTAATTAATAGGTGACAAATCTGATGGTCTAGCTGGCTATTCTATCATCCCTCTACGTCTTAACCATTGTTCAGTAATATTGTGACGATGCCTTACACGCATCGTCCCTAAGAACAGCCAACACAACATCCGTTGGCTGTAAACGGCGCTAAGCGCCAAACAAATAACACAAACATAAACATGCGCCACGCCTAAAGACACGTAACGTCAACAAACAACATCAAATGTAACGAGACGGTATATAAACCGTGGCCGAGAAATAAGCGGAGAGACCGATCCGGACCGCCGACCGAACTCGATGCTTCAGAGCGGAGAGCAAGGTATCCGACCGTATCGTTTCTACCTGCCCGTCACCTTCCGAAACCACATCGACGAAATCGGCACCTGGAGATTGTGTGTTCGCTATCTCCATCAAGCGCTCTTGATACCGACTTCGCCGTCCTCTCAGGATCCAACGACCGGCCTACGAGTTCGTGTGTTCGCAAACCCGATCGAGTCCTCTCGGTACCGATCGTATCCTAACTCCACGAGCAAGCATCCGAGCCAGTGTGTTCGCTGCGCCCGATCGAACGTTGTCGACACTTGCTTTATTAAATACGGCGATACGCGAGTCGCCCGATATATCGCGGAACGTGCTGCGACACGTCAAGATCCCGTGTACCGCCGGAACCCCGCCGCTAAACGTCAGTTCGCCTTACGATTCGCGGATTTCACGCGCCGTGTCTCTTGCGAAGTACCAGCTTCGCGCTATTCGCTCCGCCTACCGAACCGCGAGACTCAACCAAGCAAAACCGAGACCCGATCACTGCTGCCGTCTCACGCCGAAACACGCATAGCTCACGCCGTTGCTCTGTATATGAAAGATCAAATAAATTGTTATTTGTTATTATTTGCTGGTGTCAATCATATATCGATCCTTGACTCCGACGAGCGATATTCCCGGCGATACGACCAACAACCAGCGCGAGACGTACGGTTGTTACAATATTGTCTAACTTTTGTAGCAAAATGAGGTGTTGTCCCATCCTGCTGAAATCATATATGACCAAGATATAAATTTTTTATAGCAAGTACAACTCGATATCTCTACAAATGCAAATAATTTTATGCATTGAAATTTTCATCAAGAAAAAAATGTCACCATGTCTGTATGTCGCGTATACCTGAAGCGATGAACCACCGAAATTGTAGGAATGAAAAAAATGAGAAATACAAACTTGTGATGTACATTTATTAATTTCATTTTCTTTATGAAATATCTAATAATAAAATATTAATGGCACATAAGGAGCTAGCACGGATGTCTTAGTGCTATTAAATACTAATATAACTTTTAATATTAATATGATTGTGGGAGGATAAAAATGTCCAGTATGTCAAACGCACGTATCGAAATTTTCTCTTCGCTTACCGTACGCGGAGAATCAACCTTCCATATTTAGGCCGATCCTTGAGTCCCAATTTTTAAATATATATTTAATTAAAATCCCAAATCCCCATTAAACCGAAGACTCAAATAGATTCCTTTTTTATATATGCTGCGAAAAAACTGCCTCCGCCAGGACTTATTTCTGTTTATGAAATATCTTCAAAATCCTCATGAAAAGAAAATCCTCGTGATCAGTCTTCAATAAAAAAATAAATTAATCTGAAACAAGAATGCTGAAAAAATAAAACACATATTTCATGTGGCGTTTCGGTAAGCGAGACGCCACGCGAGACGTATAGGCGCATTTAATTTCGGGAAGCGCCTTATAAGGAGCGCAATCCGGAAAAAAGAGTTTTGTGCCTTTTGTGTGATAAATATATAAGTTATAATAGATCACCTTCTGCAATTGCAAATTATTTAAATACAGCATACATCACAAATATCCCTGCGATAAAAATAAACAAGAACAGAACCTAAATTAAAAAATTTTATTGCAATTTGATGTTTGCATGTATGTTAAGCTGCGTAAATATAATATTAAATATTTCCAATAACTATAAAAAAATTATTATATATTTTACATTTTATATCTTTATATAATATTTTATATCTTTACATTTTCACAATAATTTACATTTAATACATTAAATGTTTTGAAAAAATTGTATGAAATTTCATTAGTTATTGTAAAATGATTAAATTATCAAGAAAAAGAATTAAGAATTTTAGTTTTAATTTTTAATGAAAAATTATTGTTTTAAAAAAATTAGTTTTAACTAATCTATTCTACTTTATAATAAAAGAAAAATATATTGTAATAACAACATTGTTTTGTAGCGCTGAAACGCAAAAAATTAACTATTTAAGTTTAAATTGTTTCAATGGTTCACAATTATAGCAGCCAACTTGCACTCCCCATAAACGTTCAAGACGCAATAATGAATTTGAATTTTGTAATGCACAAAAACAAGATGAAATAACAAAAGCTATAGCTGTTTTTATAGCGTCCAGCCTTCAGCCTATTTCAATAGTATCTTTGGATGGTTTCAGAAAATTAATGAAAATTCTTATACCGGGCTACAAAGTCCCTTGTGAAGCTACTATACTCAAGCGCTTGAAATTTCTATATGAAAATATTAAGGATAAAATAACAAGAGAATTCTCATACACGAAAAGTGTTTCACTCTCAGTAGACGAATGGTCTTCGAGAACTCAAGACAACTATTTATCTGTAGAAGCACAATACATGGATGATAATTATAATAAATAATATGTGCCATATAATTTTATGTAATGAAAATCTTGTGGAAAGACCAAATGCTGTCAATATTGCTGCTACAATTAATGACACTGTTGAAGAGTGGAATTTGGCTGTAGTACACGACAATGCATCAGCTATGATTGCTGCATGTAGACAGTTTGACGAAATTCCACATAACGTAAGATGTAACGCTCATCTTCTTCAATTGTGTGTAAATAATGCACTTGCTGCTATATCTCAATTTGAAACGATTTGTATGAAAGGAAGTACTATCATATCCCACTTTCGTAAGTCTAATATTGCTAGTAATGCCTTTGCAAAACAACAAAAATAGCAGAATTTAAAAGAAGAGCGCTTGAAGCAAAGCTGTGAGACTCGAAATATTTTACATGTGAAAGTTAAAAAATCAAGCTTCAATTATGTTAGTTCTATTAAATAGAAAGATAACAAAACCAGCTCGAAAGCTTGAAATTAACGAAAGCGAGTGGAATGATATGAAAAATATGATATCTTTGCTAAAATTTCAAGTAGTTACTATTGTTTTATGCAGCGAAAGAATGTTACAATTTCCATGGTACGTCCCATTATCTGCAATATAATAAAAAAACATTTAGCTGCTTCATTTTTATATAATGAGAATACGACCAATTTTAAAGAAACAACCGTAACATTTAGTCGTAACTTTGAAATGTAGATTTGCGATGGAAGATAATGAATATGAAATTGAAATATATATAGTTCAATTCTTTAATCCAAGATATAAATCTTTGAGTAATGAAGATGCAGCGATTAAAATAAAAATCTTAAATCACATACAAAATAAACAAATGAAACAATGGAAACGTCAACTCAGGAAAATGATAACAGTACTACAAACAGTGCCTTAAATTATTTATTCCAGGTTGATAATTCCATAACTAGCTGACAACAACAATATTTTTTTTGTCACTTATAATATTACAATCTATCCCAGAAGGGATATTCAGTAATAGTTTTACTTAAGTAAATATGACTCAAGAGAGGTGCATCCAGCGATGCATCTCAAAAACTATTGACTACAATCAAGCAGTAAGACAGATGGAGATTTCTTTTTTAGTCTGCGAACGGTAGATCCGCCAGACATGAAATTGGTGGCCAAATGGTTCGGGTGATTATCTATCCTTTTCTTGTAGGATTTTGTAAATCTGGCTATTTCATCTTTTACAATGGGTACGTTTAGATCATGGTGTAAAGTTTCATTTGTGACGAACCATGGCACGTCAGCGATTATTCTCAAAATTTTTGACTGGAATCTTTGTATAATTGCAATGTTAGAGTGGAAAACAGTTTCCCACAACTGGATGCCGTATGTCCATATGAGTTTCAGTATGACTTTGTATATCAATAATTTATTGTCCAGACTAAGTTTGAAGTTTCGACTCATCCTCTAATATAATTTAAGTAAGTTGATACCTAACTGCTTCCTCTTAATGAACATATGTTTCTTCCATGTCAGACGTCTATCCAGAAACACCGAGATACTTAACATGACACGTCTGAGGTACCACTAAACCATTCAACTTGATAGGTGGACAAGTTTCTTGTCTAGTTGTAAAAGTAACATGAGTTGATTTTGTCTCATTAGCCTTGATCCTCCAGTTTTGCAACCTGCAGACAATATCATTCAGACTGTTCTGCAGTATATTAGAAGCCATTATATGATCAGAATGAGCCACCATAATTGCATTGTCGTCAGCAAAAGTACCAGTAACAACTACCCTGTGTGTAGGTAAATCGGTCGTAAAGAGAAGGTACAAAAGAGGTCCCAAGACGCTAACTTGCGGTATCCCTGCTCGGATCGAATATAGTCTAGAGTTACCCCGCAAGTGACCAAAAAATGGCATTAAGGTAGGACCTCAAAGTTCTATAGTAACAGGTTAGGAGATTTTTTCTAACTTTGCACAATAGTCCATCGTGCTGGCAACAACAATATGAATTGTATAAGGTAGAAACCGATTTAGGTTTAGATCCAGTCGAATGCTGGAAAAATTATTCAAAGAAATTTGCCGTAATTTTTAAGCTTTCAGTAATTTATTTATCGATTGCAGCCACTTCAGCTGC